GGTCTTGCATAGTATGCACCACTTTGGGGATGGGGAGGCTCTGAATGGTAACATGCTATTATTTTCTTTTATTTTGCTCCATACACAAGCGAATTATAAGTGAGAGCTAAATACCGACGGATTATTTTCAAGACAGGTCGTCTAAAATATGGTATAATTTGAACAAAAGCAATTTGTTGTATGAGTATTGACTAGCCGATGAATAAATAATGTTGGTTTTTGTATTCTCCTGGTACATGTAAATATCAGAATCATGTACAATCTCTATCAATTAAATGCAACCATATTGCAGAATAAACAACTTGAGTCCATACATTACAATCTGAATGCTATTCAGTCCTGTACATTAATTATTTCATGGAGAATATCTTTCACTATGATTATTATAACCAGGCAGTTGTTATGTTATAACCAAATTAAAAAGGATTTAAATGACATGTCAAGAATGTAAAATAAATGCTGATATAATAATTAGTTATTTAATACATAAATTAAATATTATATTCTATTATAATATTATAATGCAATATGAAAAGCTTTCCATGTTCCTTTTGTCATTGTCTCTTGTGTTTGTTCCGTTGTGTTTTGTATTGTCTATGATCACAGAACAAATTACCTTTCATTTTTTTCTCTGGTGAAGCCAGTCTTAAAGCCGTATGGGCTTGTTCGGCTTCTCCAGACACAACTGCATTAGATTTTGTTCGCATCTGTATTTTTTTTGTCTTGTTTCCACCTGTATGCATTGTGTGAATAAATCTGAATCTGAAATAATTTTGTTGCATGTTGATTTATATACCAACACATTTACTTTGTATACTATGTAATTTCTATAATATATGACAGAAACACTAGTAGAGTGTAGGATATTGACTTAAATAAACATTATATTTATTGTTTTCTTTATTTGTTAATTTGTTTTATTCATTTTTAAATAAATTGCACGTTGTAATGACTTACAAAATAATATATTCAAAACAAATACTTTTGATTAAAATTTCTGGCATAGTGCAACCAATTTATTTATGCCTAAACTAAAAGCAAGCTCTAAAAAACGTAGCTTTTTTATATCGAGGTGCAACCTATTGGAATGCATACAATTTTGACAAAAAAGAAAATTGGAAAATTCCATATCGCACTTTCCAAAGTGATGTTACAAATGATTAAAAATTAAAAATAAATTGAAAATTTAATAATAATAATAATTGAAATAACAATAAAAGTAATAATAATAATAATCAAAATAATAAATAATGTATTTGTAATAATAATAATAATCAAAATAATAAATAATGTATTTGTAAATGATTTTCAACTTAATGTAATGAATTTTGAATGTTTTGTAATTGAATTTCTTTAACTTCATGTATTTATATTTAAAATGTTTTATATAAATTTTATCTTGATCATGTGGAAGAACGATTATTTAATTGAACAAGATTATTTGTACATTTTGTGCTTTTATTATCGAGTTGAAATAAAGTTTATATATATAAATACACTAATATATGGATATGTTTACAAATTTATTGTTGAAATAATTATTTTTTAATTTAGGAATTTATCATGGCCAGTGGGTTGGAGGAATGCGTCATGGTTACGGTATTAGGAACAGTGTTCCATACGGTATGGCGTCAATAGTGAGACCAGCTTTGCGTACATCACTCACATCATTACGTAGCGAACATGAAAACGGTACGGTCACAGTCTCAGAAAATTTTGGTCAGCGAGGTGGATTTGTGTTGGATGTGTCCGACACTGAAACATCGGACGCTGAAAGCTGGTCGGCCTCTATAAACCGTAGTGGAAGCTTAAAGCGCACTTTCATTGATGGACTTCGCTTAAAACGAAATAGGAAAAAGAGGGATAGAAGTGCGGACTCAAGTATAACCACGCAAAGTGACTCTGGTGTGTCATCTACAAGTAGGGGTACTAGTAGGGGTAGGTCTGCCATACTTAAACAAGATTCATTAAAAAGCAGCGAAAGTGCGGCTAGTACCAGTTCTGTGCAATCAGCTTCAGTTTACGATAGCGATCTGAATTGCTTGCACGACGAAGAAGCAGCACATGATGTTACTGAGGTTTACATTGGCGAGTGGAGTAAAGATAAGAGGACTGGTTACGGTATTAGTCAGCGCTCTGATGGTTTATGCTACATAGGAGAATGGCAGTCAAACAAACGTCATGGCTACGGAATATTAACGCATCCCGATGGACACCTGGATGAAGGGAAATGGAAGCATAATATGCTTGTAGCATCTGGTAAAAAAAAACTGTTTATGGGATCAAAAAAGATCTCGGAGAGAGTTGAACGTGCTAAACAACTTGCCAATCAAGCAATGAATCTCGCAAGACAGAAAGCGGATTTGGCCATTTCACGGTAAGACTTAAACACATTTATACTATTTATGTGTTTAATATTATTCAAAGTTTTGATGAAAAAAAATATAATGGGATAATTATGCACATTGGTGAATTTAATAATAAAAATTCATAATTTTCAAATCTTACCATATTCTTAGGCTCAATTGGAGATGAGGTAGGGAAGGGAGATGAAGTGTTTTTTGTAATTGCAAATTATTAGAAATATGAAAAGGAATTGAGAATCAACATAATTCAAGTCCTTTTTATTTCCTATCTTAAGATAATGTGCACATCCCATTAAAAATATATGCAAATTAAACTATTGTCCTATGATTGATATTCCACACACTTGAATATTATGTTACAAATGGTTAAAAATTAAAGATGCATATAACGCACACAGCTTGAATTATAATAAGTTGGCTATAATAGGCTGCAGATATTATAAAGACAGCTTGCTGAAATCATGACAAATGCTGATGCTGTCACAAAATATTAATGATGATTTAGCATAGAGATTCTCCTTCATATCCCTAGTTGGTTGTGTTTATGTAAATGAGGTTCTGTCTGCATAACAGCAAATTATAGGATGTATATCCCCTGGATGTTTTCATTTTCACTGACAGAAGTATGAATGCAAGCTCAACATGTAATTATGATACGGTCACATGCTGATGTCACAGGTCCTTCATATCGCTAGTCAGTTGTATTTATGCAAATGAGTCTCTCTGCTTAACAGCTAATTAGGTTGTAGAAATCAGGATGTTTTCATTTTCACCAACATATAAGAATTAATACAAGCTCAACATGTAATTATGATACAGTCACATGATAATGCCACAGATCCTTTATATCCCTAGTCGGTTGTGTTTATGTAAATGAGGCTCTCTTCATATTAGTCAATTATAGGATATATAGATCCCCAGGATGTTTTCATTTTCACCAACATGTAAGGATAAATGAAAGCTCAACATGTAATTATGATACGGTCACATGGTAATGCCACTTTGATATACTGACTCATAAATCTTAATAATCCATGTTTGAATATTTCCCTGTGCGCAAATCCGTTCACGAACCGCTCAGCTACGAGAGTGATCAGTGGAACTTGTGAAAACACATGTTTGTGTATACTGTATGCAATTCGTTGGCTGAACTCTGGTTGATATGCTTGAGATTAATCGTATTAGAACTGCAAAGTTGATGATGACGGTAATCAATTTTTAATCAGAAAATGATTGGTTCAATTCTTGAAAATGAAAGTGTCTGGAATGTCCTCTTCCTTTCTCCCCCGTGTCTCATGAGACCAAGGTTATTTCTAATCAGGTTAATTTTTTTTTATCTGCTTTTGGTTTGGTGACTGAAAAACAATATCCACATACAGACCATCATTATTGATTATCATGAAATGATTTTTTTATGTTTATCCCTTTAAAATTGTTTTTCATTGTACAGCAGTTTAATGGGTAATCTTGTTTTGTTCCAACAGTACTCTTTTTCATCAATACATGAATAAATTCATTTAGTACTACATATTTCTCAGACAGTTCGGAGGCATCAATCAGTAGCGGTTACATTCATGTAAAACAGTGAATTAAAAAAAATGCATTTTGAATATACAGGACAAATAGTATACAAATTAAAACAAGTTTTCCCAGAAACGATATATCGCTGCAATATGACTCCCATGTAAATTTAACACAAATACAAGTAACAAGCTAGTTCTTCTAATCAGTATAGAGTTTCGAGATATCATTATGACTGAAACATTACCACGTCTAATTGCCATTGGATATCGTGTCAGCGTGTGATCGGGTTGCGTTTTATCCAATACATCAATTTCTTATCTATTATTCCACTTTTTTACAAAAGTCTTAAGACATTGAGTTAGAGTGCAGTTTTATTTCCCATGTGGCTGTTCTCTCTGCATACGTACTCGAAACTCATCTATTGTTACATTGTTCTTGATGGAAACGATAAATGACGTGTTTGTGTGTCTCTCTAAGAGCCGGCACATTCACTTTCAAAATCAGAAGCGTGAGATTTACTGGTGTTTTCATTAATTACAGAAACACCTCTGAAAGCTTTTTACAATGACTTCATCGAAAATTTGTTGATTTTATAAGCATCCGCTGGAATTATATTCAAATTTGTATGTTACTAGTTGCATTATTATAGATATTAATGTTAATAATGGCACCGTCAATTGTGATATTAATAATGCGTTATCCAATACTAGATCATTAAGGAAGGGAACGACGATGATATTGATGATAATGTTAATGGTAGTGATGATAATAGTAGCAATGTTAATGATGTGATGATGATGATAATAGTAATGATATTGATATTGATAATAATGATAATGAGGATAATGATAATAATAGTGATGTTGTGGTGATAATGATGATGATGTTAATGATGTGATGATGATGATGATAGTAATAATGATAATGTTAAGGGTAGTGATGATGATGATGGTGATTATGTGATAATGATGATGATACTTCTGCATGCTGCTGCTGATATGATGATGATGCCAATGATAATGGGAATAATGATGATGAAGACGGTAGACATGTAGTGATCAGTATCTATTTTTGTTTTAAAATCTTGAAGCTTTTTCAGTGAATCCATAACTACTATCAGTTCGTAAATTTACCCACCGATTTAATTGAATGCAGATATTTAAAGCCTAGTATACTGATCCATCATATAATATAAAAATATGAAAATCTACCATCTCGCCATCACTGAGCAATTTACTAGTCTCGGGAAAATGCCATAAAAGTCAAGATATGAGAGGAATGAGTAGCCTAGCTTAAATTAAATTGAAATTAATCGAATACTAAACTACAAAATGTTGGTCTACAGTGATCAATGCAAGAAAAGGTCCTTAATTTGCATGAGGATAATGAGCGTTTGGTTTTATTCAAATCATTGTTTTTGGATTTATGAATGTAATTGAGGCAGGCCGGGTAATGAGTTCACCATGGCAACAAATCAATAAGCACTGTGTAGTTGTTTGTGGCAAGATTTGATTTATTTAATGCATGTGTTCACCTCTCACAATTGACTCACTTGGTATATTAAGACTTAATAGTTAACTTTTATAATAATATTTCACAAGGCATCCATTGTTGAATGTAGTAATGTACATATCAGAATTTATTATAACTCCAATGTTTTATATTAGCTAGTGATAAATTGGTATATATTTAAAGGACAATATCTATGTATTCAATAGTGTAGATTAAAAATATTATGGTACTGGAAAAGGCAATGCTATGGCAAATGATGGCTAGTTCTCAGTTGGGATTCAAATTGATAAGCAGAATTTTAAATAATAACAATTTTAGTCAACTTATATGGTGCATATAGTATGAATGTCACTTCAAAAATTGACAAGGCCATTTTATTCAATGTTTTGCTTTTATTTAAGCATCATCAGGAATAATACATATACATACACGAGACAAAATTATATACAGTACAAGTTACCAGAAATCCTAATTAATATGTAATTATTTATCCTAATGGTTATTTATGGTACTTATTGTATATTAAGCAATAAAATGTTTTAGGAACTTCGCTAATTAAAAAATTTAATTCAAATATATTACAGAGAAACAAATACAATTTTTATTGAAGTTCAAAGAAAAGTAGATAGGACTATATTACGACACATCTTGCGCTAATAATGTCTCTCTGTTTACATTTGTAAAAGACAGGCACTATATGTAACATCTCACTTTACATTAAAAAGCTACTCAGAATTCATGATCAATTAGTGAGATCAATATTTTGACACAATTATCCAGAAAATAATCTTTAAAAGCAATTGGAATTCTGTCCTGTCAGATTTAACCAATAATTTCTGATCAGCCTTCAAGGAAGTAGGACATTGTCTGACTTTTTAATGCTCTGGCCACACCATCAATTTTTATGTGACAATTCATGAGTTTGTCACATGGACAGGATGATGTCACATCACAGGTATTTGTCACATAAAACTTGAGTGTGGACAGGACCTAAATTAGTAATAGACATGGAGATAAATGTCACATATCTTGTAGTATGTATGTATCTATGTCCGTAGAGTATGTCACATGATGTGACATACCGTATAGACATGATGATGTCATATCACACCCATGGGTGTAGTTTTTTGTCACCAAAACTTCATAGTATGAACAAAACACAGAAAGACAAATATGTTTCTTCAGGATATAAAATGAAGTCTACACAAGTATTGTCTGTTAAATCTGCCAGGCACAGAGATGAAGAGCATTTGAGGATGTTAACATTTTTAATTGCATTAATGTGGCTGCACTATATAAATTATCGCGTCTTTATTATACTTTCAATCTTCTTAGTTCACTATAGTAAAATCGATTTCAGAAATATTTGCAAATTCCTTATATGATACTCTATTATATACAGTACCATTGTCATTTTATTGGCCTATGTAATTTTAATCACAAACATACTCATAAATAGATTGGAACTATAATATGTATGCATATTATACATACCGGTAATCATAAGCACATCTCGGATTCTATTTTATGATGTAAAACTAATTATCACATTTTCCATTGAATACATTTTTATTTACCAAAAACTGTAACTTAAACCTCTGTCTGTCTAGGCCTACTTCATGTACTCGTTATTACAGTGTAATATTTCAACATCTGCGCTGATGAAGATTGATGTAAGAATGATACAACATATGGCATTTATTAAAATATGATTTTGAAAGTAAAAGATGAAACTCCATAGATCTACTGGTACCTATTTTCAAATATCATTATGCATTGAGAATTCTCAAATGGCAAACTACTTTCAGCTTCACATAGACAAATAAGGAGAGTAAATTCTTTCTATATTATAACTAAAGACATTAGGCAAAACTTTCTTTATACCTTGTTTAGCAAACCCACCGTCCGCCAATAATGATGATATCAAATTATTTGCTAAATATAAAAACAAAATTTTATTTTTCTTTTTTTCCCACCCTCAGGGGTGGTGCTAGTAAAGGGCAGGGGATTAAGCTCCCCCGTCGGTCTGGTGGCTCCCCTCCCCCCACATCAGCCAAAGCTTGTCGGACCAAAAAAAATAAGGGGTCTAGTTTTCCTATCCCAGTACTGTACTGCCTACGCCAAGCCAAATCTGTCTCAGCTATCACTTCGTCTGGGTCTGATCAGTCAAGCAGAACATCTAGAAGTCACAATTTTTTTTTTAAATCTTGTTTTGGGAGAAGGGGACACATACCCACCCCCGGCTCGGACCTTCAGTCCCCCTTAAATTATATCCTAGAGCATCCCTGCCTCCCCTGCCCCCCCTCCCCCTCCTCGGATGATCTTTAAAAAAAATAAGTTCGGAATACAAGGCATAAAAAAAGGCCTCGCCTAAGTTTCCGGTAATATTATATTTGCTTTAAAATTTGGACGTATTCAGGGTATTCGTTTCCCTCCCAAATTAAACTACTACAAATTTTCTTATTGGAATAGATTCAACAAATTTCAAAATGCAATCAAGATACTCTGTTCACACCACCTTTATGGTTTTTTCCTCTGAGTAGGTACAGTACCCCAGTCATAGTCCACACACCTTTTTAAAAAAACTCCTGTTTTCCGTGATTAGAAAATATGTTTTGGCTTATTACTAGGAATTTCATATATTATTCATAATTTCTGATAAATGCAAAGATGTGACTGTGTGATATTGAATAAAGCGGTGATCGTGTATTAAGTCGTGGTATCTGCATCTGTGTGAAAATGTACATTGCATGAGAGTTTGTATGGAAATCACTACTCAAAAAATGACTTACTACTCTTAAACTAATAATTAATGATTGGTGATTTTGTTTATGCCTTCACTATTGTCATAGTAAACCTTCCGTTGAATGTTCAGTGCAGGACATTGTTTATAACAATTGTCTATAAATGAACTTTATGGTTTTGTGTACGTGTGGCTCTATTGCTATTGCTAGCATCTATGCAATGAAATGCTGTTTTATTGATTAAGGCTAATTACCGGTTGTTCAACCTCGGCCTCAGGAATGATGCGCTATTAGACTTTTTGGTGAAGTGCCAATCATACTGGAGATTATTATAGGGTGCTATATTAAAAACCTATGTTATTATTATTATTATTTATTACTATTATTATCATTATTATTATTATTATTATTTATTATTATAATTATTATGAGAGATATCTAAAGCTCGGTTTCCATAGAATCGCTTACCCTATCGGTTAGGAATGTTGAACCTGGTTCAACTTTTCCGCTTTGCCTTGCAGACAAATCGGAGTGCCTTCCCGATTTGTTTGTATCCAATTGCATGTGTGTTGTTTTTGATGATGGAGCAAGGTTACTTTACTGTTTGGGTTCATCCTATTCCTTTCTCCTGGCAAAGTTGTACTTGAAATCTGCGTATACATTCTCACATAATAATGCAACCGCGTATACGACGACCCCCAAGTTTGAGAAGAGTTTTGGACGATATTTGTATGCCAGACGTATAAGACGACCCCCTTGTTTCACTGTCCTACTTTTTGCTGCTCTTTATCCGGGTTTTGAGACTGCTTAAAAATCTAGCCAAATGTAGGGCTAATCTTCCAAATAATACCAATTTATGGGCTTTTAAATGGTTATCAAAATCTTATTTCCCCCCATTTAAAATTGCATTCAGTTAGGAGCTTCATTTCAGTAGTAAATTTGCGTGTTACAGACGATAGGCACATAAGACGAACATAATAAAAAATTGTATGTGTTGCGCGTATAAGACGATCCCCTGTTATTCGATCTTAATTTGTTATTTTAAGCCTCGTCTTATATGCGAGAATATACGGTTTATTAACCACGATGCATGAGGTGAGTGATGGTTTACAGTGAACCCTAGAATTAGTCCAATGTCCTTTATTTTGTAAAGGCACTTTATTTGGGCAACACAACCATTTTTTCGCTTAATTTTTTCATTCCAATTAATTTTAAAAAAATTTATACTACAGTATACTAGATTTAGTTGGCAGCACATCTAAAAAATATTTTTATAAATAACAAAACACATGTTACTAAAATTATATGTGTGGTGTACTTAAAGTTATTACATTTTATAATACTTCCCTTTGTTTATTATCCCTCATTAGCCTATATGCTGCACCATTAGCACCTTTCATCTGAAAATCTTGGTTGTTGCCATGGTTATAAAGTATGTTCTTAATCGTCAAATCTGATGGGTTGATGTCTTAGGCATGTGCGGTGGAGCGTGGATTATTGGGTCATTTTCTTTAGTAATTATTAGCAACTGATTAGCATAATGATGAGAGAGCTTCATTGGCAACCTGACATCTACAATCACACTTCCATATTTGGTTCATTCTATAGATTCCTGGCCAGTGAGGGCAGTATAACTAGATAACAAAATAATACCAATAGTGGCTATTTTTAGATATTGTACTGATATATCATTCCTTAATTATACCAATATTTATTGTGATTATTAATTAATTATTATATTATTATTAATAATATTATTTTCATGACATAGTTAATATAAAAACATTCCCTAATTATATTCAGTATTTTAATATATATTTTTTATTAGTTATAGTGTTATAAAGTAATACTGTAAAATCAGCTATTATTTATCATATTTATTATTAATATTATTATTTTATCATCATGATCATTAATATAAGTAATTAATTAACTGTCATTGGTCATATAATGTTTTATACTTTTTCCAACATTAACATTTAAAAATTATTTGCCTATTCTAATTATTATTATAACTGAAGTTGTTTTAATAATGTGAAAATTTAATTAATATTCAAATACTGTGTGATAAGAAAAAATCTCAAGAGATGCAAGATCATTGTGTTAACTCTGTATAATTAACTAACCAGCTGAAAGGTCAAAGAACAGATCTGCACCAAGGATCTTATGTCAGCAAGTCACATGACCTTATCACAGCGGAACCGAACAACATAGTAACATGATCTTAATATCGAAGCATCCTAAGGCGTCTGATGTGTAAATGCGACCTAGACTTTTGTCATTCCTACTGATACATGTGATTATTCCATCAAGTATGCTAATTAAATAAGTCACATTAGGGGGCTTCAGTTACAGCCCCGCTCTCATATGACACGCTTATTTAACACTTGAACGCTTCCCCTTAAGCTTGCTGTTACAGTTGCCACTAAATGTAGAGATTGTGAGAATAAATAATGGTTTTGACACTCTACGAAGATTTAACCATGGAGGTATACCTCCATGATTTAACTAAAGAGCGTTTGAAAATTCTTTGCATCCTACTGCCATCTAACAATCTGATAGCAGAAAGGTTATAGGTCATTGTTGTTTTCTATGTTCAAATGCTAATATACCATCCATGTAGCAATTTTTATTTACTAGCATTAACAAACCCAGGTTTTTTTTTTTAGATAATTGAGCTGGTAATTAAGGATTAGTGAATGGCCAAGGCTCAAGCGATTATCTGTGTAAAAATTAATATATGATGGAATTAATTTTATTCAGTCAACAAGGGATAGAGCATCTAAATCAAATGGAAAATTCTAAAACATAAAACTTGCTAATGAAGAAAATGTTAAGAAATAATAATCTACTAGCATAATAATTTTAATCTTCATTATAATTGTATTGATTCTTATCATCTTAATAATTATCATTATCAACATCATTACCATCCCCATCATGATCTTCATTAATATAGGTGTCACAATCATCAACAGCATCTTCATTTTTATCACCTCCATAATCATCATTAGGCCTACTAGCATTGATATTTTTTTTACAATTACTATAAGAATAAGCATATTCTTATTTGATTTTATTTCAGTCCATATCAAACAGCGGGAAGCCCGCCTTTAAGAGAATGAAATACACGGAACAATGACAATTATGATGAAATACAGTACAAAACAAATTACCCAGATTAAAGAAGTCCATAAAAGCCTTTAAAAAATAACAAACAACTTTTAATTTTTCTGAGTTTATAATAATCCTAATAGTCAATCAATAGTTCTTCTATCAGAAAGAGAAATTAAACATAACAATTATGATGGTTTGTATAGGGCACTAATACATTCTTAAGTATGAAACTCTTTTGTAGAAAAGGTTACAGGAAAGTCAAATAATTCAGAGAGCAACCATCAGCACTGCGCCTTTTGGCAGCTTTCTAAACTCGTGATTGAGTTTTAATGACATAATGTGTCTGCGAAAAAAATCTTTGATGAGATGTCGACTTACGGATTAAAAAAAGAGCATTTATTGCTGTAATAGATTTACGAGTTTTACAATGATATTATTATTCATGTGGAAAATATGAGTCACAATTGTATGTACTGTAATGATACTTAATTCCCTTGGTAACTTTATACCATTGATTAAAGGTAGTTAGACACGATTTGTTGAAGAAGCCCTCCCACGCCTTTACATTAAAGCACTGCGTCATGGTGTATCGTTTATTCTAAGCATCAACACACCAGGCACATGAGGCTACCCACTGTATCAGTGAGAAATCATGGTTATCACATTTTTAAGCATAACTGCAGGCTCATTTGAAAAACATGTGGTACTGTCACTCTAACGCCATTAATGTTCACATTTTATTTCAGAGCGGCTTACGCAAAAGAGAAAGCTGAACAAGCAGACATAGCATCCACTCATGCAAGAGAGGAATCGACACACGCCAATCTACGGGCAAAGGAACTGACTGCTAATCTACCCAGTAAAGGTTCACTGAAATTCTATTATTTATGGCTTTGCACAACCAAATGTAAAATTGATATTTTTAAGTCGTTAAAGAAAAGCTCATTGCATTAAAAAAAAAATTAAATTTTATCCCTAAGGACTGAACAAGCAGATTACATTAATCTTGCGATACATATATTTTGCTGCATTCACTAGCGAGACAAATATTATAAGATTAATATAAAACATTTTTAAGAAATGTCTCAGGTGATATGTAGTAGGCAAATGTATTTGCAAATACAATTTTATTGCCCCACCTCTTCCTATAAAATTACTTTTCAAATGTATTTTCACAAGAAACGTATACAGACAACACAAAAATACAAATTGAAATTAGTTTGTATATTGTTTATAATTTTGTATAGAGTATATTTAGTTATTAAATGTTGAAAGAATTTTATTTTAATTATTAATCAAAAGTAAATTAATTGCTTATCACTTTTTTATTTTACAATTTTACAGGAGAAGATAATTCTAGCGTGAGGTATGATCGTAAAAAAAGCTTCTTTGGTCGCACTCTTGGCAATTTGGATCGGTTTGATCGGAAGAGCCATATGCGAGGAACAATTATTAAACAGAAAGAAGGACATTTACACGAGCGCCAACATGATACGGGAAACCAAGACTGGGAAAGGCATAATGGCTCTGCCCACGCTGAAAAACACCTCACAGATAGTTATGGAATGTCCTCATCAAGTCAACATTCTCCGTCACTAGATAGGAGAAGAGATATTCATGCACCGATGCCTAACGGATACCACCATTCGCTTCGAGAACCCCACTTAGACGACCATTATAGTTTCAGCTCGCACGATGCGCATAGCGATCAGATGTCCGACTACCATTATAAAGGATATGGTGATAGTCGATCAGTCGAACTGACACCGGACTCCGGTATTAGTACAATGTCTGACACAGAACGATTTATGTCAGGGCCAGAACTGAGGCGCAGTGCTGTTCGACGACAGCTGACACGTCAAGGCGGATTGGACGATCATCGACTGAACCATGACGATTATCAGCCATTTGACGCTAAGGAATTTTTTTATGAGGAAGACTCTCCGACTCTAACACCCCCGCCTGAAAAAGAGCAAACGAAACAGAAAAAGAAAGTTAAAGCAAAGTCCAAATCGTTTGATCTTCATTTATTACATGAAATTCCACCCGGTCACTACCGTAGTTTTCAAGGCAAGTTTCCATCAACGTGTGGTATCAAGTATATACCAAAGGAGCCAAGCTTGGAGGAGGAAGAGCCGGTAGATCCCGAATTAGACCAAGAGGCAGCGTTAGCTGTACACACTACAAAGGTCAGTTTACTTCTTCTCTACTGTATAAATCTGTTGCAGCTAATACAATTTTCTCGCATGCAGACATGGCAGAATCTTTTTGTGTATGTGCACATTATTTTCAGTACATGTTTTGTTTCACAACATGTACTGGAAATTAGGCATGCATGGTTGGCAGAGGCAAGCCAGCAGGGAAGGGGGTCTGAGGGAAATTACCTTCCCAAACCGTACAATCTCTACCCATGAACCCCATTGGGGATGCAATTTCGGAACCCTGACTGAGGCTGTAGACAGACCCTGGTCCGGATCCCTTGTTGGACTTGAGGTCAGGGCTTCAATCCCTCGCTGTGAATCTTGTTAGTGTCCTTGAGCAAGGCACTTTATCTGCATTGCTTCTGTCCACCCAGGAGTATAAATGTGCACTTTATGGGGTTGACTGCCATTGTGCTGATATGGTAGCAATTTGACTCAATGATAAAAAAAAGTCCCTACAAGGAAAAGCGCTATACAAGCAACCAATAACCAAATACATTTACATATATTAACTTATAAATAGCTTGTTTTCGTTTTTTTGTTTTTTTTTACAGAAATGGTCTGCCAGTGGTCCTATGGTTGTTTTGGTACTTATACTAAATGTTGGTTTCACAGTGCTTTTTTCACAACTCTTCCAATTAGATGATGTTACTAACTGGCTAAAGTGGTCACAGTGAAATCCAGTTTTTATACTTGAATCTTAGTTATATCTAATCCAAATTAGATATATCCAGTTTAATCCAGTTTAATCATCTCTGGTCCATTTGTATGAAATCCATTTTCAACTTAAATCTCAAATCCGGTAACACCTCCGCTCTAGTTGAGTAAACCACTCTAATCAAACCTATATGAATCTCCATTATACGCCATCTGTATGATTATTACCTGAATTATACTATATCATGTATTTCAATCAATTTTATTTACTTTCCACATCACATTCAAATAATATCCTTGTTAGTGTGTGTGTGTAATGTTTGCTGTACATAATGAAGTATGCTGATTACTGCTACAGTACAATGGGAATTGTACCATGAAGTGAATTATTTAAAATATGAACAAAATATACTAAAAATCTAACTGGTTTGAGGTTAGCAGACATCTTCATAGCGCAATTAACAACAAAATATTCAAAATTTTTAAATTTCGGAAGTATATGTCTTCTAAACTGAAATGTATGATAGATATCGTGGATTGTTACAAGTAAGGTACATTCTAATATAATGTAGTATTTTGTATGTACAGTAAGTGGGATGGAATGCTATACACGGTCTGTAGACGGTCATAATGGTTTAGGCAGCTATATTTGGTCTATAAATTTAGACCATTGTTATACCGTAGTCTAATCAGCAGGACCTGCAAGGAGGAGTCTATAATTTAGTGATATATTATTCGATAAATGTGGCTTCCGATGAATATTTTTCTTTTTAAAATGTATAAAGCCACTTTCATTATGATCCACATATTTAAAATTTATAATAAGTTTGCTTTTAAAAAAAGGTATTAGAAACTTATTTTTCGTTACTTTCGCAAATGAGCTTTACATGCAAATATGTACAGTTGCGATCAAAAAGAAAAGTCGGCATGGGATGACTCTATTTTTCAGTACTCGCCACAGTACTTCTCATGACTGTTTCATTGCAATGGTTTTACAAGGGTGACTATCATTAGATCATCTATAACTGACTATACTGTACAACAGGCTGTTGAAGACCGTTTTATAGCAATCTGCCCCTAAAGTCTATTATCATCTTGATATAAACATAACCTTGTAGTTTATACATCTTATACAATTTGTATTCAGTGGTTGAATCCATGCACCCCTCGGCTATATCGAACATTGATTTAACGTTTTTTTTTTTAATCTCCTCACTAGCTATGTTTGGAGGCCAGTTCCCCTTATCTGTTAAAGCTCCTATTATTTAAATTAAGCTAATTTTGCTAACCAATGCTTCCTAAAATTTATCTCCAGTAGTTTAGAAATACCAACATTTTTATATAAACATTTGAAAAAATAACTGGCCTTAATTAAAAATTGTCTTGTGTATGGTTTATTAAATTATGTTGCATAATTATAGTTGTCCTATCTAATAAACTTTCATTTGAATTTCTCACTGTTTATATTAAAAGTTGGTAATTTATAATCTTTCAATTGAGAGAAGATATTGTCTTCTGCAACAGACATTAAATTATTCTCTTTTTTTTTTTTGCAAGACCTTTAAATTTTCTGGCAGTGAATTTGAGGATTTTTGTAATAAGTAAAAACTTTGTAAATTAGTGAAAACCTAAAGGTCTTCTTTGAAGTTGATAAGTTGATTAATTCTTTGTAAGTGAGCAATTTAATGCTTTGATTGAGTGTTTGCAGTTTTCCAATTTTTTAAATTTATTCTTTCATTTATTGTTACTACAGACATAATCTAGTGCAGCATTAAATCATGTATATAGAAAAAAAACAACACAACAGTAATGTTACTGGCTTGAGCGCAGCTTATCTAAGATATTTTTGGACGATTTTTTGCATGGTTTTTTATTGTTGGCACAAGATTGCAGTTTTTAACTTGTAGAATAGAGAGTAGATATATAAATAGGTTAGCTAATTAAGAATAATTTTATATATGAAATGTTTAATGTACATATGCCATTTATATTTTACCACATTTCTTTATGGCCGAAAATTGTGGGTTTTATTTAATGAAGAAACTTAAATTATGAATTCACGATAAAGATACATTTCAAAGAAGGATTTGTTTTAGGAATTGTTAGAAATATACTTTATAAAACAAATGACATTTTGGAATAAACATATTATTTGGTATAAATTTAATATTCAAACTGCCCCAGAGTGCCCCTTTTTAATATTTATAAATTATTGGGCATATCATAGGTTATATATTTAATATGAAGTGTAGCCTATGTTGCTTTAAATGGAGAAAGTCATAAAAATGATAATTAATTAAAAAGTTATTAAAGCAGGAAATTAAATAGTTGAGTGTTTACCCTTGAAGTTTAAGGGAAATATATTTTTCAATTGTGTTATACAAAAAAAATAGATTTATAATCAATCATGAACTTAGCTTTGCTTCCGACAGGCAGAGATGAACGATATGGAGGATAACTGTTGTTTAGAACGCTGTGACACAGGTAAAAGCCATGAAATACAATAATTGGGTTCAGAGATGTGGGATTCGAGTCACATGGATTTTTAATGATCGTTTAACTTGTTGCTACATAAATTTCATATTCTCTGTGTAGCTAGAGATATGTGTTGGATTTGCAGTGAAATACCTATTAACCAACAGAATATTTAGAATAATATGTAATTTTTTATTATTTAAAATCTATTAACAAGATTTTATATGCCTGTGATCAGAAAATATGACTTAAAAAATAATTTGGATAATGGTGAGCAAAAATATAGGAGTTGGGCTCATGTAAAAAAGTAGTGATACTGATAATATAATATGGGTGGTGTTATTTGAGTACTCTGGATTGTACATTTCACAAAATCTATGATCATATCTCATAATGTAACAAATGACTAAATGATCATATGATGTGATATGATATATATGTTTTATTATATATGGTTATATCACATAATATATGATCACATCACACCATATATGATATAGTATCATATATGATATTACATGGTCATATTACATAATATATGATCATCTTGAACTATACATATGCATTGCAGTATCTACAATCATATCACATCATATATGATTACATTACATCATCTGTGACCATATCTACAATCACATCAAAGCATATAATGGCCATATTATAATGGATGCATTATGGCCATTTCACACTATCTTGTCATATATTCCAGACATATGATGATATATGACATATGGTCACACACCATTTTGATAAAATCACAACCTATGGACAAAATGATCACACTACTGTATATCATGATTTGTTGATCATACAACAACTTGTGATCATTTATGATCGCACTGCTGTACAGCGTATGATTGTTATCACATAGTCTATCGTATCACATAATCTATTATCACATTATTTGTGATCATGATCCTATCACATAGTTGTAGCAATGAGGTGACTGTTATTACTTGTAACAGAAAATATACAAAATTATGTCATGGGTAGGCCTAATGGACTTTATCAGTAGCTAATTTATCAATTATTAAATTATTTAGAATAGTTTTCATATAATTTTATATTTATAATTTTATCAGTTTTATGATCAAATACATTTTGTATTTATATGATAATTATTATTATTTTTTATTATTTACAATCATAATTTATGTATCTATGATAATTTAATATTAACATGTATAAATAGAATGATTTTATGTTCAACAAACATTGTGTTTCATTTATTAGATTTACTATAATTATTATTTATGATTTATATTTATTTTGTAAGTATGTTTTAAGCTAGCCAGACAGTAGTGAGTTTACAATGAGAATGAATTGAGGTGTGTTTGCTCGCTGGCTGTTCCTATAGGTCTGATAACCCCATCTGCCAGGTTATCCACCCATCAGACAACCCTCCCCCTGCCAGGAAATCAGTCACTAAAGACTGTCTTCATCGTATCTTCTGTTCTCCTCTGTATTGTTTATATACCGAGTGCAAAAATAGGAAGGATTCGGTATTTTTGAGGACTTGATCATTCTCAGGAGTAAAAGTCAGACTGCTGTCGACAGGCTACGTTATCGATAAATCGGTGCTATAAATAGATAATAAAAAAAATAACAAAACAAGATATAATTATTTGAATTTTAGATCTTTCAGGAAAAAAACGTACGATCTCACTAGTGATACGATTGATGTATCGTCGACAAGATGTTATTTATACATTGTTTGTGTGCAATAGTTAAAATGTGCTTCAGACACCGTACGATTGCCTTGAAATGTAGAGTGCATTACCCTTTTCTTTTTAAATTATATTTCTCCCTATTTATTTCCATGTTATATATATATAATTTATCGCCTAATATTTGTAATTTGATTACTTAAGATAACAAGATCTCTGTAGATGAGTTTTGTAAATAGCAATCTGGAGCTAGGTGGTCAGGGTATATTTTGTGACATCTTAGAAATGTTTATGTTGTGTATTTAATTTAACCATGTCAACTTGAAATGATTCCTCCTTTTTCACTGTATTGTTTCGCTTCAGATGTAGTTCGGAATGTAGGTTTAGTGTGCAAATGTGTTGAGATTGGCTAGGTTTTTCAAAGTTATTAATAAATGTAATGGAAAATAATGTCAATATTTTTGTTTTGCTTCTGTCTGATGCAGTGGCGTACCAGAAAATTTCTGTGGGGGGGGGGGGGGGGGGTGGGAAGCAGTGTGGGTCTGTGATATGTGGGGGAGCAAGTGTTCTGATCGAAGCGGAGAACCAAATGCTGGGGGCCAGGGGCCGCGAAATCGCCCGGCCTGGGTCTAGGGGCGAAGCCCCTGAAAAAATATTACAATACGGCTATGTAAATGGCTATCTTATGTGACCTTAGCCCGTTTGCTCTCAAATAATCATGTATAAATCAAGTGAAATTTCTATGGAATTAAAGAATCAAAATGAACATCATATTGTTTTATAGCCGTTTATTAATTATACAGAACATTTTAAAAAATGATGAAACTATTGTATTTTGTATCTTAATACGAATTACAGTTAAATTTAAGAAACATGAATAACCAGGAACGGGATTGTACTTTAGCCATTGTGTTGCAACAAGACAAGTTTGTAGAGAATACTCTGAGTTTGTATAAATGCCTCTGACTGCCAAAATGTGTAGGCCTAACTACTGTAAACTAAACTACAAGTCAAAACTATGAACTGGTTGAGCTGAGTTCGAGCAATCATCGACATGTAGAAATGTCAATGAGCCTCATTGGCCACCTGAGTAGGGGGGGGGGCAGCGGTGGTGGGCCGTGGGGAGCCAGGATAAAATCTGGGGGCTCCACCCTCCCCCCCCCCCCACGCCGCTGGTCTGACGCGGAACCACGTACACGAATATACACCCAAACATAAATTCCCTTCTCACTCAGTAGGGGTATATACAGGAATTTCGTAAAGAGGACGTAACCGTTGTGAAAACTATTATATTCGTTTTTGGTTCCTATGCTGTAAAGTAGGAACCGTTGCAATCGTCCATGCATGTGCGTCCGTACGTCTGTGACGCTGATGCCACCTAATTCATCGAAAGTTTGTGAACAAGCAAACTTGAGTTCCAAACACATGTTGGTTAAGAATTTTTGCCTACATATGTTATTGGTCAAGCAATTGTGACTATTACTTTAAAACAGTTTTGGATAAATACTAAAGCATCCAAGATTCGAAATAATCTAGCGTTATATTATGGTAAAGGGAATGTACCAAAATGCAACGACTATCGCTTTAGATTAGAGGATATTAAAAAGTCTAACATTTCTACCTGAATTAAAATTTTTTTAATTAATTAAAGGAAAGTCCTGGATCCGTTTTAATTTGTTTCCATATCTTACATCATTACAAATAGTGTAAAATATTACGAAAGTGGCTGCATGAGGAACATCGGCCATCGCAGAGATCCGGTTTTATCTACTACTTGTCATGATAAATTTGTAATAGATACTCTTACAAAGCATATGTTATTAAGTGGGTGTCTTAAACATCATAATTGAAATGAATAGACCTTTCTGGAGTGTCAATCAAACTTAACAACTGACTAATCAGAACAGCGCTAGGAATACGCGCGCGTCTTACAAACACACGTGTTGTCCCACAAACGCACGTGTTCGCGTATGTTTTAACCATAGAGATATAATAAGAATACTAGAGCGCTAACAGCAATGTATTCGATGTTCGAAATACGCAGATCTGCGTGTGTGTACCATCCAAGATGGCTGCCATAGATTCAGCCAATCAAAATTCGCCTGAGCGCTATCATTTTCAATGGCGCCCTCAATGTACACAGAAAGTTCAGTACAGCTAGTTACCCGTATTTTGAAACTCGAGTGTTGCGGTGTATAGGTGTAATGTACACGATTTTAATTCTTTTTAATATTTGAATAAGATGCTCTACTTGGCCTCTTTTTGGCTACGACAGTTTAATAATTTGTCATTATCAATACTAATTATCATTAATGA